TTTTTTTTTCTGCTGACACAGTAAACATGGAGGGAACAGGCAGCGTTTTTTTTTTATAGGTCACATGCCACTTCACAATGATCTATGGATGCAGGGCCTTTGCAGACTTAAACTGTTGAGCATGCATTATTTGGATCAGCCAAGCATGGCCATTTGAGGCAAAGAGGAAGCACCCCCTTCACATACACACACTGGTTCTATGTCTCCTCTCTGGTGCACATTCCTTTTCTTCTCTTTCTCCTGCTCTGCATCTCTCCCACGATGACTGAAATCCTCTTAAAGATGGTGTCAAGCATCAAAGGCCTGGAGGGTGCAAGTGTTTTTTACGCTCCAAACAAAGCCTGCATCTCTCTGTCCCAGCACACACTTGCTTTTCATGGTTTGATTATTTATAACAGAAGAGACCAGCCATAAGTGTTATATTAGAGAGCAGAAATTAATATCTGTTTGGTTCAGACATCAATGAGCAAATGGTAGCAATTAATTTAGATGTTAAAAACATTCTGATTAAAATAAGTGTTTTTGATGTGTTTAGGAAGATAACATCAAATTATAGAATAGAATTCAACTTTATTGTCATTGCACTGTCACGAGTACAAAGCAACGAGATGTGGTTTGCATCTATCCAGAAGTGCTATACAGGATATAAATATTATTACAGGTGTATGTACAAGCAAAAATGAATAGTTAGGGACTGTAAAAAGTTGTGTATAAATATAAATATGAATATGGGAGCTACATGCACAGATTATACAGAATATACAGGAATGTTAGGAAAAGGATTGTATATGTATTAGCGGGTTTATAATAAAAGATAAATAATGGCAGATAAAATTTACAGACTATAATTATGATATCAAGATGTAAAAATGTTATATGTAATTTGATGTATGATATTACTGATAATGGGGTTCAGGCTGTTCATTTTTGTACAAACCTATTTGCTTACTCTTCTGGTTTAAATTTGTTTTTTTAAATGTTAACAGTTTCTTTCTATTTTGTCACGATGCATTGCCAAAGTGCCAAAGTGTTCATCTTTACCAAAAATTATGGTCAAGCATGGTTTTCAATAAAACCTGATTTTCCACAAAATGTAAAGAGTAAAGTCTGACTTTGAATTCCCAATTTAAAAAAATTGCCCTGTAGCTTGATACCTGCAATTCAGTGTTTATTTAAAGGAAGTGCTTGATTTCCATATTTTATAATTGAGGATTTATTCTGCCAGGATTTTATGCTACGTTAATACCAAACAAGTCCACCCAGAGTGCTGTATGCGTTGGGAAATAATACCAATTGTCTTAAAAAAAATTTAAAAAAAGATCTTTTTTTCTTTTCTAAATTAATTAAGCACCATTTGATTTCTTAATTTTGTTTTCTTAATTTTAAGAAACACATATACATAACTGTTGAAGCTTTTAAGTGACAAAATGTGAAAAATGTTTGATGGGCACCTCATTCAGCTAACTCCAGCAGACCACTGAAATGACAGTAGAGATAATATTCTGGTTCTGCCCATCATATGTTCCATGCCTTACTTAAAGTGTTTTAACCTATCCACAAAGTCTGATCTTTCTCCCTCACCATTAATAGTGTGTGTTGGTGTGGATGTGTTTGACTACACAGCTAGACCCCTCTAATGAGCCTTGGGCTGTTCGTCCTCTCCCTAATTGGAGGGAAAACACATCATGTTCAAAATATAACACTGTTTGAAAGCTTGAGAAAATAAAAGTGCAAGAGAAAGCGAGAAAAGGGGTGTGATAGAATAAAAGATACTGAGCAATGAAGAGGGCAAGATAAAGGGGAATCTATTAAATACAACTCTCCATTTTATCTTAGAACTCTATCACCAAATGCTGACATGCAGCGAATCATTAAAAAATTACAGCTGTCTAGATTTTATTTGCTTTATTTATACTGTATAGAAGATGAGGATTGTCATTTTGGTCATACTGGATATAGCCACAATGGTCCCTTTTTTTTATAATCTTGAACTAATAATACATTTAGTGCAAGAAGTGATAGCAAAAGTTTAGCAGTTAGCGTTTATAATATTAGTTGTTATAAAACAGGTAATAAATAAAAATTCTTTAAATAGAGGTTGAAACATCTGTGGCACTGCTTAAATGAAACTAAATTTTCAGAGCTATGGTATCTGTATTTTTATATTATGGAATTTGTTTGTTTTTTCCAAGTGGACCCTGTAGACTTCTGAGCTTGAACAATCTTTAGACTTTCAGGATTCTACTTTTTTATACGCTTTACTTAATTTCTTTCACTGTAATTTCTGGTTTATGAAGTAGGAATTTATATGGTAATATAAGATAAAATCAGGTAACTATCAGTAATATCAGGTGAAATCCAAGGGTCCTGATCAAGGCCTAATTTAATTATATATCTAAAAAATTAATCCAAATAACTTTGGCTATTTTTTTCTTTATGTAGAAAATCCCTTTATTGTCCCACAGTGGGGGAACTGACTTTAAACTCAGAATTCTGACTTTTTTCTCAGAATTCTGACTTTT